GGCGTGCCGTGCCTCGGGACAGGAGAAAAGCGCTGGTCCCGCTCCCCGGGGGGCAGGACCCAAAATGGCCGCCCTGGGGGCTCAGGGGGGCGCCGAGCTCGCTCAGCTCCTTCAGGGTTTAAATCTCCTGGGTTTGGGACTTTCCCCTGCTCGAGGGGTGTTTTCCATCGCTGAGCCATGGGATGGTTCTTGGGGCCCTTGCATCCAACATGATGGGCTTGGGAAAATAAACTTTAGGGGTGGGCTTGACTTGGGGTCTCCGTTAATAAAAGTGGAGGAACAAAAGGCAGTAAAAACTGAGACAAAGTCACATCCGGAGTGGATGCATTTGAGAACACTGCTGAGGGCTGTGTGCTCCTGCTGAAGAATGTTCTGTATTTATGAAGCTTTAATGTAGGGTCACATGAAAAACAGACTCAACGCAAAAAAGGATATCCTGGGGAAGAAGCAGGACGAAAATACCCAAATATGTTATGTTTAATAAACTTGTAATTTGAATAAAGATGCTTTAAAATAAGTGGAGTACTCAGCATTGTCACAAAGCCCTCAGAGATGTGTTAAAGCAGCTTCAGAGTGAGAAACCACTTCCGTGTGCCCTGTCCATCGGGTAATACAAAAATGTGGGTGAGCTCGTGCTAAAAATTACTGAAATAAATGATGTTGTGCAGTCCAGGTGTCTGTCACTGATGGATCCCTGGCCGTTTGGATCAGCACAAGACCTACGTGGTGCTGGAGAGGTTCAGCCACCAAAACCACCACGAGGGGTTAAAAGTGTCAGAGTGTGGAGAGAAACCTTTCAGGCTGATGAGTTCATTAAGGGATTGTGAAAAATGCCTCCTGCCTCTTCCTGGCTGCCCTCATTTGTCACATTTGTTAATGAGAAATGCACATTCCTCTGTAAGAGCAGCACTGGGGTGGCTGGCAGGAAGGGTGTGCGGTGTCACATCAGGATCTGTGGCTGGCACAGGTGCTGCTTGTGTTCTGCCCCAGGGTTTTTCAGGAGAATGTCCCTGTTGGGTCACCAAGGGGTTAAACAGCAGCACAGGGGAGTGAGAGAGGCAAAGGGTAAATTCCCGGCTGCCTGGGGATGTTCTGCACCTGAGACAGTTTTGGGGTTTCAGTTCTCTCTGTAGTGGGACACAACGTGGGGAGCAGCAACCACAGCCCCTGTGTAACCTCAGGGGGTGCTCTGGGGGAAATAATGGGATTTTAAGATTATTTAACAAGCTGTTCACAATTTAACAAGCTGTTCAGCTCAGCAGAAGCACTTTTTGGAGTTCCCATCCCTGGAAGTGTCAGAGGAATGTAGGATGTGGCACTCAGTGCTGCCAGGGTGCTGATGGGCCAAGGACTGGACCCAGTGATCCCAAGGTCTTTTCCAACCTGTGATTCAGGGATTCTGTGATCCCAGGCCAGGCTGGGCAGGGTTTGGAGCAGCGTGGGACAATGGAAGGTGTCCCTGCCATGGCACTGGGTGAGCTTTAAGGTCCCTCCCAACCCAAACCCTTCTGTGATATTAAAAAAACTCAACAAGTCCCCTCCCCACAAAAAACTCCACAAAGATCCTGATTATGCTTTTCCCAGGTGTAGGGAAACGCCATCCCTTGCCAAGAAATTAGTCTCTGTTTTCAAAAACTCATTAAAACCACTGAAAGTTATTGTTAAAAGCATAATAAACCAATGGTGAGTCTGCCTGCTTGGTGAAAACCCTGTTGCATAATTTCTTTTGTATCTTAATAATCCTCATAACCGCTTTAAATGGTTCTCTTAATTACCTTAATGAAGTGTCTCTTTATAGAAGTATTAGATTTTTTTTTCTTCCTCATTACTTTCCTCAGGTCTGTGCTATCACTGGAGTGTTTAGTTGGATGTGCTGCACAATACTTGTTCCTCAGAGTTATTTTTGCTTTTCTAGCAAAACACATGTGGGGAATTAATAAGTTATGTAGAACATAAATTATGGGAAGGCAAAGGCAAATAATCTTGCTAAAATAAGAAGCCAACCACTGTAAAATGACAAGTTTTTCCCTCAAAATGGGAGCAATGGAAACCAGGGCTCTCCAAAGGAGAATAATGCAAATATTGCCCACATGACATCATTGCTGATTGTTATTGCTGAGGGAGCTGGGGAGGCAGGAGGGTTCCCAAGCAGAGCTGCAGGGCTGGGGCTGAGGCCCACGCCTGTCATCGCCCAGCTCTGTCACAGGAACCTGTTTGTCCTAATCCAGCTGGATTGGTCCTGACTACTCTCACTGCCTTGCAAAATAACAGTTCATCAAAGCCCAGATTGTCTGGGAGAAAAGGGTCGGTTTTTAACAGGCATCTGAAGTCTTTTGTTGGGGGGAACTGAGAGTGAACTGTCCAAACTTGCCATTTCCCTCCTGTAACTGTCCTTTGGAATCTGCTGCTGGAGGGCTTTCCTTGGCATTTCACCAGGAACTTGAAACCACACAGGTTTTGTCTTCGGAGGTGAAACACAAAGCTGATATTTTGTGTGTATATGTGTCTGTGTGTGTGAACATTTTAAATAGTGCTTCAAAGTGATCAAACTTACTGTTTTGCATGTAGGAAAAGGAAGCAAAAATACCAGTCTGACGTTTTCAGAGAAACTCTGAGCTTAAGATAAGACAAGGACAAGTGTGTGTAAGCTTGAAAAGAATTCCCATAGCAGCGGATGGTGACAGAGCTCGTTTTGTTTATGCAGATTTCACTGTAAGCAAAGAGATTTCCTCTGCACATGCTGGGGCATGTCTGGATGCAAACAGAAAACACAGCACACTGCCAGTGGGAGTTTTTCCTGGAAGCCTGCCCAAAAGGACACACACGGGTGGAGACTTAAAGGAGAAAAGCCAGACGAGCAGAGGTAACGCCACCGGAATTCAAATGGTCCCAGGTGGATTGGGAATGTTCATTTTTGAATTTTCCAAACCCTGCTGTTTTTCCTTTGTGAGAGCAGCCACACCACACAGGTGGCCCCATGATGTGCTCAGGTCCAAGGTCCCCGAGCAGAGTGATGGGGCACAGGGAAGCAGAATCAGTTAGATTGTGTGTGGTTATTTGTTGGGCTGGTAGCAATAAAAGGATAATATTAAAATATCAAAAAATAATAAAAGTCATGGGTTTGCTGGCATTTGTGCTGTTTTGTTTTCACATTACTTGGGTTTGCAGCAATTCCCACATGCCAGCACACCATGGCTGGGGCTGGGAGGGAAAGGGGCAGCACTTAGTACAGACCATAAAGTTTCAGTGAGCGCCCCCAATCCATTTTCATGGATTTATTTCCCTGGGAAGGCATTTCTGTTCCTCCCGAGCTCTGCCATCGCTCCCTGCCTCCCGCTGTCACCGAATATCGTGGCAGCTGCTTGCATTGCTCTTCCCTCTCCCTGCCTGGTGGGATGCTCCAAGGCCTGACGAGGAGAGGGAGGAAAATGAATGCAAACT